TGGATATTAGGGGATTTTTATTTAAAGCTATTCTCTGTCCTGCATTTGCTTTGGGTCAACTATTGTTCTAGAAACATCATGTATTATGTATTCTTAGTAATCCTTACAATGTTGTTTTGTTGTTGCTGCTGCTGTTATGTGTCATCTAGTCATATATGACTCATAGCGACCCCATGTACAACAGCTCTGAACCCTGCTCTTGTCCTGAGCCAACCTTATTGTCTCTGACACACCTACCCCCATTACCCCAGTCCTTGAGTCATTCCATCTTATTGAGGGTCTTCCTCTCTTGTGACGTCCCCCACCCTCCCAAGCCTGATGTCCCTCTCCAGGGACTGGTCCCTTCTTGCAACATGCCCAAAGTATGTCAGATGAAGCTTTGGAATTCTTGTCTCTAAGGAGCAGCCTGGTTTCACCCTCTTTAGGACAAACCTCTTTGTTCTCTGAGCAGTCTGTGGCATATCCGATACTATTCTCCAGCACCACAGCTCAAAGGCATCATTCTCCATCATCCTTAGTCATTGTCCAGCTTTATGAAGCATAGCAAACAACTGCAAAGACCATCAGGAGATCCTAAGTCTCCCGACTACTCATTCATTTATTCCATAAATATTTGCCATGTATTTTCTATGTGCCAGGCAATAATGAGATGAAAGAGTTAAACAAAACATCTGTTTCTCTTTTCACAACATTTATATTTTAGTGTGTGCATTGGGAGAAAGGGTAAGTGGGGGGTGGGGGGAGGTGAGCTTGGATTGGTGGTTGCAGAGACAAAAACAAGACAAAAGAAAGGATCATTCTAGAAAGAAGTGAGTCCTGAGAAGTGGCTATCAGCATCTAGGGGCTCTTTGGGAGTGAGTGGGGAAATGCTTTCTGACAAAACTTAGAGATGGAAACGAAGAGTCAGTGCCATGCTCAGACTGAGGAAGACCATTCTAGTCAGAGGGGCCAGGTAGAGTGAAGGCCTGTGCATCGGAGGGGAAAAGGCCCGAGTGACTAATGGTGATAGAATTAGGAGGTGAGGTTGGACAGAGCCCTGGAGGCTGTGTTTGGATTTTATTCCAGTAGTGCTGGGCCCACCTGGCCAATTTTAAGCATGGTGGTAGAAAGGTCTGTTATGCCTTTGTGAGACGATTGCACTGCTTGCTGTGTTAAAGATGACTCCCGGAAGAGAAAGGGCAAGATCAGACATGGACTGAGGAGGCTCCAGCCCTAGCCCACTGGGACCAGTAGAGCAGGAAGAAGTGCTCACTTACAGACTTGTGCTGGAAGCGGAGCTGATGGACCATATGGAGGCAATGAGGGTGCCTCTACTGTGAGATTTGTTAAACCTGATTGATAAAGTGCAAAGTCACAGGCCTCAGTCAACCTCAGAGGAAGCAGGACAGGAGTTAAGCTTGTTTGCTGTGGAGCCACTGAAGGGAGGAGGCAGTCGGCTTCTGGCGGACCTGGGGGAGCTCCTAAAGAGGAGGGACAGGGCAGAGTCTGGACAATGGGTATGGGAGTGGAGTACCCTTACCCCAAGGTCCACCCCACCTTGCCCCCATCAGCCACTGTGTGCTGCACCTACTTCAAGTGGATGTAGAAGTGCCCGCTGGTCCAAAGCAGCGCAGAGAGCCCAGACTCAGGGGCCAGGGGTCTTTTGCTGCCTTGTGGCCAGTCTCTCTTCAAGCTCCATGCTGAGGTCCTGACCAGTTTAGAAAGCAGCGTGGCCCATGGTGCAGGTCAGAAGCAGAGGACAGGAGCCAGCTGCAGCAATGGGGGAAGAGAACCTTCCTGCATGCTGTGGGGTCGGGGTGCATGTAACTGTGCCAAGAGGCACCCCAGTGTATCTTAGGAATCAGCTCCTTGTCTCAGAGCAATAAAACATCACTCAAAGTACCTGTGGGGGGAGGAAAAACCCCAAAACACAGAGGTGGGTGAAGGTATACAATAAGGGCTTGCTTTAATATTGTAAAAAGTTAATTGCAGCAATTAATGGTAATTAATGTTTACGAGTGATTTCTAAGAAAATTAATGTGATTTGTAAACTTTCACCTTTCACCCAAATTTAAAAAAAAAAAAAGTAAGTATCTGAGGAAAGAGACTAGCTAGGCTTACCAGAAGCGGAAGTGTGGCCTGAATTAAAGGGAAATCTTTCCTGAAAGGAATCAATGATGTAATTTAGCCAAAAGCCTGAAAGGAACAAAGAATTCACTCTTTTCTCTCATCTACAGCCCAGCCCCTAATAGGTTGCTGATCCAGGAACTGTGGTAAACAAAAAGCCAGAGTTTTGGGGTTTTAAAAAAAGCTTCAGATGGGATGTGTTGCTGGGTGGAGACTGGAAGAGCTCCACTTGGGAAGGTTGAAGAATGATAACCCCTGGGTTGCTAAAGAGAATTTTGAAAGCAAAAACGTCTAGACCATAAGTTAGGAAAAAAGACTAAGCAAACGAAGAAATAGGTTGAATCTTCTTTTAACTTTATAGGTCTCATATATGACTCCTGGCTCCTGTGGGAATTTGAAAATAATCATTCACGCCACAGTCATTTGCTGAACATTATTAACTCCGCCCCTGGCATTTCACCAGTGGGTGAGTGTAGAGGAAGGCAAGCAAACATGAGCTCTGTCAACACACAGCTTTGCCCTGGGAGATAATATCGCTTTGTGAATGTTTAGTGGAGACAGATATTTACTGCAAGAAACTAGATTTCTGTCAACACTTAATAAGGAGACCTGCTAACAAGGTGGTTAAACACTTGGCTGCTAATCTAAAGGTTGTCAGTTCAAGCTCACTATTAGCAGCTGCTCTAATTAAAAAGCCTGCGATCTGCTGCTGTGAGAATTTCAGCCTAGGAAACTTTTGAGATACATGTCTACTCTGTCCTTTAGGGTCACTAGGAGTCAGATTCAAATTGACAGCACACAACAACAATAATGCAAACACATGGTTTATACTGAAGACACTGTGGTCTTGATAGCCATTTGTTTTTATTACCTCTCGTTCAGCAGTTTGAGAGGGACCTCCGACGCTATGCCACGCACGAGCGGAAGATGATGTTGGATAACCATGCCCTGTACGACAAGACCAAGGTAGATTGTTCTCTGAAAGGTGTGCTACTTTCACCCTCATTTCCAAAGCTGATTTCCTGAGCATTTTCCTCAACTAGTTTTAATGTCCAGAGACAGTTACCTTTGCCATGAGTGTCCTGTTCCCAAAGGCTTTACTTAACTCTATCACATACAGTGGGCAGTAGCTTCCTGAGGGATTACTAGGTCATTAATGAGACTCTACTGCAAGAACAGAGGACAACAGAGCTGACCGAATATAGATATGGACAGTCCCTTGCTAAGTGACCCTTTTGGTGTGATCTAAATTCAAACCTCACCAAAATAAATTGCTTTGTGAATCATGAAGAGTTAAATATTTGAGTGTTAAATCTGTAAGTGCCAAGGACCAATTCTTTCTAGACGCCAAGGGGAAAGAAGACACTCAGGAACTAGAAACAACGGTATTTGCCCTCCAGGAGCTAGTAGTCTAAATAACTTTAACTAAAAAGTAGAATTTATACAACTTATACAACTGCAGCATTTGGAGATAACATTGGCTTCAGGTACGGCTGTATCCAGGTGCTAAGGCTGACTTTGTTTTTAGTGATGGTTTCATGCTTGGGAAGGGTTTTCTTATGAGTTCTAGGTTTTCGGAATAGCTATTCCATTAGAGAGGAAGAACTTCTCTTCTAATAAGACCAGTAAGAATTCTAGCGGATACTCATCAGCCAGGCCTGGCACATCTATACCTCCTTGGAACTCAGGATGCAATTTTCTCCACCTGAACCTCATAGAGGAAGGAGGCTGAGGAGGAGTGATTTCCCAGAGAAAACCTGACTTGCTTCTGCTTGTAGGGAGCTGTGGATGTTAGCAGGAAAGGCTCTAAATGTCAAGTAGGTGAGTGAAGATAGAGTCACATAATATTATTTAGGAACATTTTCCAAGTAACACATAATAAATAGTTCACCCTAAGCAAGCATCTATGTAAGTGTGCTATATTGAAGAAGGTCTAAAAGAACTGATGGGATGAGAGGTTAAGGAAGAGGCAGGAGTGGATGACTGGGAGGAGAACCCAATAACAGAAATAGCCTATAATTACCTACAGCAGCACAGCATAATTCTGACTATACATTATAATTATCCAGCAGGCTTTTAAGTAGAATGATGCCAAAATCTCCTGCCCTGAGATTCTGATTTATTTGGACTGAGGCATGGCTCAAGTGTTAGCTGTAAAAGCTCTTCCAGGTGGTTCTAATGAACAACTGTGGTTAAGAATTACAGACACGCAGGGAAAAACTCAACAGCCTTTTTGCTGAATGTGTAAAGATGCCATGGCTTTATCTTAACTCATTTATCACTGTACATTTGGATGGAGAGTTAAACAAAAAAAATGTAGAATTTGGTTAAGATGACTTTTTATACTCAGAAGCAGAGAATTATGTTTTAGCCATAACTCATGCCGACAGGAGAGTTTATAAGTAGTGATTTCACCATGTTAGCACAACAACGCTGAACAAAAATGTCTCAAATGTACACATTCAAACGTACTCATTCCTTATTTTTTTTTATTTTCCAGAGAAAATTTCTCAGCGCAGACAGTGAAGAAGACATATTTGCACATTTGGGATTAGATTATATTGAACCATGGGAAAGAAATGCCTAGAAAAAATGACAAAAGTTGTGAGTTTCCCCATCCCTTTATTTTGCATGTTTGCTTGCTTGATCTGGGGGTTTTAGTGTAATTTTCTTTTTTTCTTTTTTTTTTTGCTACATTTTGTTGTAAGATTCATTTCAACAACTCTGATCCATGTTATAGAAGAAAGCTTCCTCATAAAAGCTCACAATTCTTTTAAGTCTTATTGAAATGTAGACTGCTTCTAGGAACAAGTTGTTTTGGAAACACAAAGAAGCACACGCCATTTAATAACAGATTATGCTGTAGGCCATTTGTATGACTTGGTTAGAATTCACATTGCTTTCCTCAATAGAAACAGTACTATGATTGGTGACTTATTTCCAAAGAAACCCACCAAAGCCCACTTGCCTAGAGCATAGCAGGAGTATTGTGTATTTCCATTAAAAATAGAAAATGAGATGAGATCTTTTTCTTCTTCATTGTAATATAAGGGAGGGTGGAGGGACAGTGCAAGAGAGGAAGACCCTCGATGAGATGGATCGGTTCAGTGACTGGGGTAATGGGGGTGGGTGTGTTGGAGACAGTGAGATTGGCACAGAATAGAGCAGGGTTTAGAGCTGCTGTTTATAGGGTCGCTATGAGTCACAAGTGACTCGATGGCACATAATAACAATATAAAAATATTCCTAAACAAAAGTAACTGTGGAGTAAAAGAATGCTCAAAATTCTTTTGAGAAGGAAACAAGTTTCATTAGAAGAAGCAGAGATCCCAAAGGGGATTCTGGATCCCTTCTTGGCCCCGGCTCAGCAGAGTTCACCATGGCTCCGTTACTAGCGCACTGTTCCAGCACAAGGCCATTAAAGGGATTGCTGATTACTTTCACTCAAAAGGAAACAATTTCTTAAAGCCACAAAGGATTTTTTCCCAATTCCCCACCCCCCTCTCCTTTTTCTCATCTTGAGGTCCAGTCTCTCTCAGAAAAATGATCTCTTTTGGGCCTCTTCATTGCACGGTGCCCAAGACATGTGAGGCAACCCCCATTTAAGCAGCCTTTGGAACTCCAAGCCTCCAGATCAGTCTGGTTTACCAGTTTCTCTAAGAGGCCGTAGTTCCTGTGACTTGAAGGAACTGTGAAGATCTATTGCAACCACTCTGTTTTCAACCTGCTGAGGAGCTGGGAGGACCCATTTCCAAGCTCTGCCTCCCCTTCTACTCCTCTGGAAGGAAGATACTGGGAGATCCAGACCCCATACAGAGGATTGATACCCCATGCTAGGTAAGAGAGAGAGAGAAACTGTCCTCATGTTGTAATCTGCAGAATAACAAATATTTTAATATGTTTTGCCAGCATTGCTGTATACTCTCCCAAAATTAAGAGGCCTAAACAATACAGACCTGCATTATTGGCAAGAAACCAGCTGATCTAGCCTGGGCTTGGCTGCTCAGGCATCCTGTGTCCCTGGGACTGGTGGGCTAATCTGACACCTCACAATAACAACAACAACATGCTTGTGAATATGAACTTTTTTCCTTTGGAAATGGTTTTTCTTTGATACATTAATTAGATTGATTAAATCAGAGTAAAAATGAGTTCTAAATCTAGTAATTTCTGAGTAATAATAAAAATAGAGAATAGTCATGTCAGATACCAAAGTGGTTACCCATCATGCACAGTGTTTGGATGAGCTTCCAGACTGATTAAGGTTTGGAAGCAGGAGTGGCATCTACTTCCTAAACCAGTTGCCTCTGGAAACTCTATAATCATACAGAAATGATCTTAATTATAGAACAAAGTTCAGGTACTTTGTTCATAGGGTCGCTATGAGTCGTATTCAACCTGATGACATTTAACAACTGCTAAATGAGACTAGTGTTGTTATATTTGGAGGAACATCCTTCCACTTTGTACATCACTCTTTGTCATTGTGCTGTATGAGGTAATCTGGGTTTGCTGTGATGCTGAACCTTGTGCCATTGGGGTATCAAATACCAGAATGGTTTCCCAATGTGGACAGTGTTTGGTGGAGCTTCCAGTTATAAAACAGGTTTTGAAGCAAGAGTGGCATCCACTTCCTAAACCACATGCCTATGGAAAATCTATGAACGTGGAAAAACAACGTTAGCTATGGAAAAGGCGTTAGATCTTTGCTTATAGAGTCACTATGAGTCATACTCGACTATACAGCAAGCAACAATAAAAAGAGCAGAGTTGACACAGATTCACACATATACACATATGGAGAGTGAAAAAGAAAGACCAATGCCATGTGAGGATCATTTACAAGCCAAAGAACCAAGAACACCCAGAACAAACTACACGGAAAGAATTAACATGACAAGAACTTGATTTGGACATTTACCTTTCACAGTTGGGAGAAAAATAAATTTCTTTAAAGCCATACACGTGTTGCATTAGGAAAATCTGCTGTGAAGGATCTTGCCAAAGTGCTAAAGAGAAATGTTGTCAGTTTAAAGACTAAGGTCCACCTGAAGCCTTTATATTTTATCCATTTGCTTCCTATGGAAAGCTGGACAATGAATAAGGATGACAGGAGAAGGCTTCATGCTTTTGAATTGTGGTGTTAGAGAAGATTAGTGAATAGCCCATGGACTTTAAAAAAAAAAGTATGACTTAGAGGAAGGGCAACCAGCGTGCTCCTTTAGAGGCAAGGACAGTGAAACTTTATCTCATACTTTAACTTGTTGTCAGGAGGGGTCAGGCCTTGGGCAAAGGCGTCATATACTGAGAGAGATGGAGGGAGGGTCAGAGAGAGAGAACATGAGCCTCAACAAGATAGATTGAAGCAGTGAGTGTAACAATGGGCTTGAGCATATTAGAGATTGTGAGGACGGTGCCAAACAGGGCAAAGTTCAGATCTGTTTTCACAGGGTCACTATGAATCATGGCCAACTCAGCAGCACCTAATACTAACCACCCAACAACACAAAACCATATCTCTGTGGTATTTGTGTCACAGCAGCACTAGGAAATAAAAACAGCGGTCAGTACATAAAACTTGGCCAAATGCACATTTAAAGCATTAGGATGTGTGACTTTTCTTAGGAAACAGAAAGCTGGTAAAAGCAGCTCCCAGGCCCACTTGGAGTCTCTTGGCTAGAGCAGTGCTGCCCTCTGGAGGTGGGTGTGTGTTCTTCAGTTGCGTGCCAGCACCCTAGTGCCCACTTGCTTTCCTATGTTCTGTGTGTCTGACCAACCCTTTTCCCCTTTTGTGTTTGAGATCCCTGTCGTACAGACTACATCCCAGGACTGGAGTCTGATGCTCCAGCACACTATGTGGCTGCTACAAGTCCCCTTTCCCTCTCTGGACTTTTCTCACCTGTAGAATCAATGAACTGATCTAAAAGATCAAAAGATCCCCTCCGGTGATGGCACAAGAGCTGCTCTCTCTGTTTGGTAGTAAATATTCCCAGGTTATTCTTCAGGGATGGCAGGTGCACAGTAGGAATGCTACCCCTGAGACACTGACAGAATGACCCACTCAAACCCCCTCAAAGTGGGCGACAGGAAGGCTCTTCCAGGTCATCAGATGAAAATGTCTATCTTGGATCCTGAAGACAGTTTAGATTGAAAATGATAACACACTGGGCAAGGCTTTAAGGATAGACACCAATGTCATGTCTCAAGTTGATGACTAAGGAAAGTTGCGGGCGAAGAGAGGGCTGGATAGCAGACACCCCACTGAGAAGGCATCATAGTCTAGAACAATATGGAAAGTAATAATCACAAGCCTTGAATTCCCAAATCCACAAAGTGTTCTAACTCCTTCCTTCCGCCAAATGTGAAACTGGGATTATTTGGGGAAATATGTAGAGGAATGTTTTTACACAAATATGCTGTTGTTATGTGATGTCAAGTCAAAACCAACTCATAGCAGACCCTCCCATGGGTTTTCAGAGGTTTTAAATCATACAGAAAGTGAATGCCCATTGGTCAAAAGAGTGATGGGGAGAGGGCTAAGTCAGAGCTCTACTAACTTCATAAAGAGGAATTGTCTCCGTCGACAACATCCACAGTATGGAAAGGATCCCTATAAGGTCAGATACCCCCCACCTCCCGCTGCATCTACTTCTACTAGTCACTGGGTTCAATATTTCATTGTAAGTGACCATACAGACCTTACAAAGCCCCTTCTTAGAGTTGGAGTTTATTCGAGAAACTGGTTTGGTCCAGGGGTCAGGGAAGCAAAGGATATCACATAGTGAGTGTCCAAATTCAGTTTAGCAACACAAATGCAAGAAGCCTCTGGCTTCCCTCAATCCTTCAGCAAGCTTTGTCTCATAGCAGTCCCAATTCAATCATCCTGCAAGCTTAACCTGTACCTCCGGCTCCACCTCAAAGGCTCCATATGCCTCATCATAGTCTCTCCACAGTCTAGTTCGTTTTCTCTCTCTCTCTCTCTCTCTCTCTCTCTCTGTCTCTCTTCTATTAGGTTTGCAGTTATGGATGATGTAGAATATACTGATTAAAAGTAAACCATGTATCCACAGCTGAGGCACCTGGAGACACACCTTCAGGGGAGCTAAAATGAGTGGGTGGAGCCTCAAAGATTTCTTTTACTTACACATTCCCCCTGAGTTAGTTGTGTTGTCAGGTCTAAGGGAAGGATATTGTAGTTATGTGCCATCAAGTGGAAACCAACTCATAGCTGACTCTCCAGACAGTTTCCAGAGGCAGTAAATTGCACAGGAGGAAATTGCCAATCCTCCCGCAGAGCAGCTGGTGGATTACAGTGCAGCTTCTTACCACTAGGCCAGCAATGGATAGAGAAATCACAAACACCCTAATACCACACTATCCTCCTCCTGCAGAGCAGTTGGCTGATTTGAACCATGCCATGTTTGAGTGGACAACTATTTCTCCACTAGGCTACCAGAACTCCCTTTACATCAATAGAAGCAGCCCATATTAAGTGCCTACTACAAAAAGGTCATTTTTCAAGGTGTTAGACATAAAGCAGTGAACAAAGCCCTCAGGAGGTCTACCTGGATGATTGTAAGTATGAAG